TATATATATATTGTCAAAAATTCATACCATCTAATTATTTCCTTGTTTTATTTTATGGGATTCTTTCTGGTACAGATTCAATTCTTATGTTTGTTAAATTTACATGTATAGGTGCAAAGATGTATAGATGACATGTCCATACTTATTACAACCTATGAAGGGACACATAACCATCCACTCCCTGTTGGTGCAACTGCTATGGCTTCTACAGCTTCTGCAGCAGCTTCCTTCATGTTGCTAGACTCAAGCAACCACATTTCAGATGGCACCTCAAGTTTCACTCAATTAGCACCCCTTCCTTACAACACCTTCCACCCCCTAAACCCTGCTTCAAACTTCAGGAGCATTAGCCCCAGTGACCCTTCCAAAGGGATTGTTCTTGATCTCACCAACAACCTCAGTGATCCACCACTACGTTTTTCAACTGGTGCTAGCTCCTCCAACCCTACAACTGAGCCTCGTTTTTCTTGGATGCCAAACAGATACCAAGGTGGTGGTGCCATTGCAATGAACAATTTTCATCACAAGGCTAGAGCAGTGGATCATGATAGAATTATTTGGAAAGCAGAAGAAAGCAATAATAAGGCAATAGATCACGACAATGTGTCCGCAATTGCCTCAGATCCTAAGTTTAGGGTTGCGGTTGCAGCAGCCATAACATCTCTCATGAATAAAGAGAGCCACACTACTCATCCTATAGGTACTTCGTTTGGTCCTAGGAGTGGATCACAAAATGGTAGCTAGCTAGCTAGCTCTAGTTACAGCAACTGAATGCATGGTAAGCCCCACTTGATTTTCCACCTTCATGATAAAGAGTAAGTTTGAAGACAAAAAAAGTGAATGTTATTATATACGACAATGTTTATACCACATTGTCCAAATGACTTAATTATCAGGCATTACATTTTATGTACCTTCATATAAATAATCTTACAGGGGGTGGTTTCTTCTGTTTTCCTTGTAATTTTTTGTTGTTGTCGTTGTCGATTGCTGTGGAGTTAAGATTTGGGTGATTAATTAATTAGTTGGATGGCATACACGTGAAGGACTTTTAGCTAATGCAGTTAGCCAAGGCTCAATTATTAAAGTATTAATGCAAAGCCTTTCTTAACTGTGTTTTAAGCCTTTTAATGTACTCTCATGTGGAATCAAGTTGCATAGTTAAAGAAATATATATTTGGTTCTCGTAAATTAGTTTCTTTTTTCTTTTTGAAGGGGGATCTGGGGTAGGGCTACTAGCTATATCTTCGTAGAAAATGAAATTGGTTATGTGTTTGATTAATTAATTGAACATAATTGCTACGTCAAGTTCAAGTGCATGTGTCCATTAATGTGCATGTATTGATACAAGTATAACAATATCTGTCACGAACTAGTTCTATATATTTAGAATACCAGGAGGAGTGTGAATAATAATGGTGGGTTTGATTTTTACTTTCAAAACTATTTTTAGTTTTCAAGAAAAAGAAGAAAGCAGACTCTAATAAACGAAGGGTGACAAAACATTTTCACAGTCAGTCCTTTTTTTTTATTTTTAAATACTTGTTTTAGAATTTCAAAACTTAATATTTTGAATGATAATTTTGAATTTTGAGGGCTGACAATTTTTCTTCCTATTACTATTTTTCGTAATTTATGTCTTAAAAGTGGTGTTTTAATTTGTTTTATGTATAAATATATTGTTTTTTGTATGGGATCCTTTTGAAAAATACATATAATTATAAACTTAGTTTTTATACTTAGCCCCTCCGACCATCTACGTTAGGCTTCATCCCTGGCTCTTTTTCCCCCTCCTTTTAGACAAAATTTTAAGCATTTATTATTTCTCTTTTATTAGTTTTTTTTATATATAAAATTTGTTATTATATTATTTTAAAACCACACACACACACATATATATATGTATATATATATTATTGCGTTTTGTAAAAAAAATGCATTTGCAATCAAATGAAATTATTAGTTTCCCCATTATATTGATTTGAGAATTAAAAATTATTTACTGATCTTTGTCAAATAGGGAATTGATTATTTTTAATTTTTATACTAACCAATATTTTCCTATACCTATTTTTATTTAAAAATAACAATTATTGTGTTATCAGTGTATAATATTCTCTTCCAATCATATTTTTTTTTATCTACAAACTTAAGCCTAAAACTTTAAAAAAAAAAATTGCGAGCTCAACTTCACTCTTGAAGTAACAACTTGTTTAATTTATCTTTTGTGTAAATGTATTTTTTACCATATGTTGTGGAATTTTTTCAAAAATAAAAAATTATAAATACAATGAATAGAACTATTATATATATTTGAGATATGATGATACATTGAAATGTTGGAGTGTGGTGATATGTTCATATTATGATGAGTATTGTAATGAGGCATGATGAATAAGTCAAATATTGTAGACTGGAGAATGAGAAATTGAACTATTATATATATATATATATATATATATATTTTGTTATACTTGAATAACCTTATTTAATGTTAATTGATTTTATGATAAAATCTAGCATGAGTCTATAGTCTATTCTAGTGGGCTTACCTGTTATGACAAGTATTTGTGAAAAGGGTTGTTAGAAAATCTTACATCTTTTGTCTTAAAGTGTAACTTACATATTTGTGAAGCAACCTTACTTAAAATTCTAATTTATTTTAAGATAGAATCTAAAATTGTAACAATTTTGAAACATTATATTATTTCAATTAATATTTTTTAAAATAATATTCTTATATTTTATTTCCCATATTTTATTTTTTACGCTTTATATATTAAATATGGTTTTATTATACTTTTTATCTCTGGGTTTTATTATTTTTATCATATTTTATATGAGGTATTTTCTTATATATTTTATATATTCATTTTTGCTCTACTTTATTGCATGATATGTTTATTCTATTTTTATTATAGTTGTTATGATATTTTATATTCCACTCTTTATTGTTTATTTTTATAATAGCAACAATAACATTAATTGACATTTTTAGAATTTTAAAGTCTAATTAATATATTTTTTCATCAATTTTCCACTTATTCTTTACAAAAACTAGAAAATGAAGTTGAGATAATAATAGATATTGAATAAAAAAAAAATCTAAATTTACATTTGTTAAATATTTAATGTGGATTAACCTTAAACAACTAAATATTGGGACCAAGAGAGTATTAGTTTCATTTTATATCATTCATATATTGTAAAATCTATTAACAAGACATGTACTTCCTATTTTCGAAAAGTATGAAACACCTACTTATCTCTACGAAAGTAAATATATTTATTGTTGCATTGACGATACAAGTTACATACGAAGGAAAAGTTATTTCTCAAAAATTAGGTGTAATGTTATTAAATAAAACTATTATTTAAACCATTTAATTCAAATTAAGGATATTTTTAAAATAATAAAGTTTAGAATTATGAGATTAATTACTTTAACTATTTTTATTGGTCTCATAATAATTAATGTGTTAAAAAAAACATAAGTCTTAAAATATGTGTTATTTTAATTTTTATTCATTTTATATCTCTAATAAATGTTGATGTTATGTTATATCATTTTCAACAAATAAGATTAATTCCTTCGAAATTGAACCATTGGAGTAAGATAAATAATTTTATAAAAATGAAAAATAATAATATATCACGTCAATTTCATAAAATTTTCATATTCTTTCATCTTTTTGTTAATATTTTTTTTGGTTTGTGTATAAAAATATAAAACATTTATTATGACATAGAGAGATTATGTAATTATTTTATCTTACTTATGAGATACAAAATGATAATTGTTGAAAGAGTAATTTTAAATAAAATAAATGTTACATCTGTTCTTGTATATCATACTCTTATTTATTTCATTGTTTGTGTCCCTTTTTATAAAATTAATTTTTTTATTTACCTTTTACATTAATTATTTTTAATACTCTTGATTTATTAATAATTTTATGGAAAAGAATAATAAATGTTGAAATTAATGAGACAAACTTTTTTCTTCTCTTGTTAAGATTGAAGAAGATTATAAAGAGAAACAAGTTTCAAACATTAATTAATTAATGAGTTAATGACTTGCAATTCAGTAATAATAATTCGAGATATTTATAGATCTATTAGGGTTATCATAACAGTAAGAGTATATGATCTTAAGTTCAAACATGTCATTGTCTTGTAATTCTTATATATCAAAATACAAATATGGAACATTTAAAACTAATTTAGAATGACTCGAAATGTATTCAAACTTGCACCCATCCCCATAATTTTTGCAGGTAAATTCTCGTTTCCACCCTTATTTCCATTATGGGACTTGTTACAAATTTACCCTCCTCATCGAGAGTATTTTATTGAGTACTCATAGAGTTGAGATATATTTTGTCATCCCAATCAAAAATATCAAATTTAATTATATTTTTAAACAACTTTAACATATACTACATATATATAATATTCATGACTTTTACACTACAACAAAAATTATTTTTAATAACAATTGTTTAATGGCAATAATCTAATTGCTACTATTTAATTATATAATAAAAATATTAATGGCTAATATATAATAGCCACTAAAAGTGTATTTATATTACACTAAAGTTTATTATTAGCGACAATTATTTATTGAAAAAAACTAGTCCCACATCGATTAGAGATAAGATAATTAAATAGTATATAAGTGAGTAATAACTATCACCTTATAAGTTGATTTATAGGGTTGAGTTAGACTCTTAATTCACTATAATAAATTAATATCAAATCACCCACTATTACCAAGTTCAATAGTGCTATAAAACAATTAGAGAGCAACTTTAACCTTATAAATCTCACATCTCTTAAGAGATAAGACAATTAAAAAAATATATAAATAGAAGACAACTATATAAGTTATGAATTTAGAAAAAAAAATTATAGGAATAAATTATTTAAAGTTTTACTAGCAAAAGATAAAAGTCACTAAATGGATGGAAAGGAGACAATTGAAAAAATAACTTTTAATAGCCTTTAAAATGGCTACTAAAAAATTTCCACTAAAAAAAATAAGTTTTCCCGACAATTTAGTAGGTCTTTACCAGCATTTTATATAAATGCCGGTAATAGTATTAGCGACATTGGATACACCGGCCATTATCTAAATGCTGGTAAAAAAAATAATGACCATTTATATGGTCGCTAAAGAATAAATTAATTGCCACAAAAACTTAATTTTGGTGTAGTGTTACAGAAATTTTACTACTTTTTTAATTAAAGAATATTATGTGGAACTTTTATTAAAATATGTATGTATGCAATTATTGTGAAAATAAGAACACTAAAATAAATAAATAAATTACATTTGAACCAAAAATATTAAAAATTAAATTTATGAATGCCAGTAATACTTTCTTTAATATTTTATTTATTTCAATTAATATTGAAATTTATAAATTTTTATTACATCTTACTTTTTTTATTTCACGAGTTTCTTTTATGATTTATAAATGAGAAATATTAAAATCTATAATCTTTAATCAATTTTAATCAATAATAAGAAAAGTCGTGTAGAGAATATTGTTAACACTCATTTTTAAATAATTATATAAATATTAACTAACTTTATTTTTTAATACTTATGTATAACTATATGGCCTAATTTTATAATTATTACACTCACTAAATAAAATTTATTTTGATTAGATATGTCATGCATGCACTGTAAATTTAAAATTCTGGCTATAGTAAATATATAAAAGTGGAATTCGTGGCTGGATTCCTCTTGTGTAAAAAGGATTGAAACTGTAGAAGTTCCACGAAAAAATAGATTAATCAAAATAAAAGACGGGTCTAATATAATACAATCCCTTTTTGCTTGACTTTGGGATCCACCAAGGACATCGTGCCAAAGAGGCAAAGAGACTCTGAAATCTGAATCATTGTTTTCTTTTCCTTTTCCTTTTCCTTCGTTCCTTCCTCCATCGCGGAAACATCCTTTACACCTAATACATCCAATTCCAGCCAATATGAATTAACCACTCAATTTCTTGTTTATCATGTCACAAATTTTAAAATTCAAATTCATTAACTTCTAATAGATTGAATATTTCATGTATTTGGCTTCTTAAAATATCCAAAACCTCTCAACATATGTTCCATCTCACTCTCAATAGGTCGAATATCCTTCACAACTATCCAATTTCTCAAAATGTCGAACATCTCTTCAATGTCTCACACACATCCAACTTCTCAAAAGGGCATGTTCAACTAGGACAAATATGCAACTGTTCCGGCATTGGAGACCGCCGCCGAAGAACCCTTAACGATACCGAGCTAAAAGAACTTAACAGCAATCTTGACCTAGAACATTCGATGAGAGTAACCTGCCGTCTTAGACCTAATCATTGCTATATATAACGGTGTAGCGTTATAGACATGAATCGCACTTATGATCTCATAAATCACGCCCCATTATGAACTCGTAACTCTCGGTATTTATTACCGTTCCCACGGATCGTGGGATCTTATTGATTGTCCGAGTGAACCAGTTAATCTCCCCATATTTAGGTCCCTCTTGTGTGATCGGCATTTTACCGACCTGCCTCTGGTCGGCCAATGGGAGACCACCACGGTATAGCAACTTATACCATATTCATAATCTGTACTCACTCACGTATCCAAAGTTCAACTTTTGTATCATATGTACTTTCAGTATAGAGACAATTTACTTTTGATTTTCATTTTTACATAAATTATTTTATTATTTATTTGTTTTTAATAATTATTTTTTATATGAGTAATTTCTTATTTTTTTCTTATCCAAATTGAAAAGTCAAATCCCGAGACCGTCCGCTGCAGATACCCTCACACATTTCTTCAAATGTCAAGGAAATTGTTTCTACGAGTTGCTCTAATAACTTGTTAACTTGAAATTTCAAAGTTCACAGTTTCTATTGAAATTTCATGTAATTTTTCAGAATTTTTATTTTTAATATAAATATTTCTATTAGACTTCTTTTGATCTCTTCAAATGATTTGAGAACACTCGTTAGTAATTCCTTAGTAATTATAAGTACTTAATAACAAAATACAAAATGATTTTCAGTTTTTTTAATGATAAAGAAATATAGTATATATTGTATTATAATTTTCTTTAACATATTAAAAACACAATAATTATTTAATACATTTAGCATGTGTAAAGCACATAACAAATATTTATTTTGTATAGTCATAGTTTATAATAAAATTATTTTTTTATATATATATAAAAAGCATTCATTATATTATAAATTACTGGTGAAGCTTAAACGAAAATAGCCTCCACTGTTTGATTTGTGTTTGATGATAAAATAATCACTTTTAAAAATAAGAGTATATTCATTTATGTTTTGTTTATGGAAAATCGTTTTAAATCAGATAAATGATGATGTATTTTAAAAATTATAATATTTTTTAAGTTTTATCAAAAATAAAAATATAGAAAAACTAATTTAATATTTTTTCATAAACTAAGAAATTAAAATCCTATGTAAGACTAAGAGTATATTACAAAATTATATTTTAAACTTTAAATGCTGCAAAAAGAAATCCAATCACCCTCAAAAATAAGAAAATCTTCTTGTAATTTGCACATGAATTTTTAATATTTTATGAAGAAGGAGAAGAAAAAAGAATATGTAAGTATTGAAAATATAAAAGTATATATTACTTTTATTTGTTAAATCATGATAATTATTTTATTTTAATTAAAAGTTTCCAATTCGAATTTTAAGAATATAGTTAACATGGAAATTAGTAAAGAATTATTTGAAAAAAAATGAATTTATGTTCCCTAGTTTTATTTTTAGACTTAAACAATCTTTTAGAGAGAATTTTATCTGAGTCAATAATATTTGATATAATTGATGAAATTATTTTACTAATGAGAATTTTAACCTAAAACTTAATTCGAAGAAAATCAAGTATGAACGACACTTTTAAAAAGAGTTAAGCCGAACATACTTTTGAAAAGAAAAAACATGAGAAAGTATAAATATTTTTTAAAAAATGGTTTTATTAAAAAACTAATAAAATTATTTTTTTAACCTACAATATTTTTAATTGAAAGCGATAATATTACCAATGATAACAATAATAATAGTAATAGTTGTAACCATAATAATAATAAATATAATTTTAAGTAAATCTTTTAAAGTGACCTTATTATGAACTTGTTTGATTACTCATTTACACATATTTCAATGCACTCAAATGGAAAAGTATGAGTGTGGATGGATTAAGTTCAGCATACGTTTAGTTATTCTAAACGGTAAAGCAAACTTGCACTATTTAGTTGGAGTGTGATTCTAAGACATTGTCCTAACTTTTAAGGATGATAATTTAATTCCTTGGTAGATTATAAATGTATGAACCTCAAGCGTGTGATTCAGCGATAGGGGATTGATTCACGCTTAAACAAGGTCATGAGTTCGAATCTTGCCTTGTGTATACAATCGCGTTAAATCTTGGGACTAACTATCCCACCCTTTGAAGTGCCTCCAACGAAACGAGGAAAGGGACTAACTATCTCACCCTTTGAGGTGCCTCCAACGTAGCGAGGAGATTAGCTATGACTATAAATATATGAAAAAACGTTATTTGTCTTACTAAATCTATGACATTTATTATGAGTCACATTTTTCGTAAAAGCAATACTTGTGCAAATAAATTTGTGTAACATGAAACTACTTTAAAGGATTTTTTGTTGGTGGAATTTTACCATCTATTATTATTTTATTTTATTTGTGTTCAGGATAGAGAAGCTTCACCTTCTTATAAGTTTAGATAGTGTTTCATTTTGTTTCCCCGTGGATTTTGGTTTTGTACGTCCCATCCCCCTTTTGTATCTTCTCTTTGGTTGTTTAATTTAACGATATTGCCCTTTATTGTCTCAGGTTTCTATTTGCTACAATGCCAACCTAATCGGGATGGTCGCAAACTCAATGCCCCTTTACTAGAAAAATAAAATTATATTTTTTTTTTGGTGAGAAAAAATAAAATTATATATATATATATATGTTAGTTATTTTTCACAGTTAATTGATGATGCATACGAATTATTACATTTTCTACACCAACTTTAATAATTCAATAAATACATAATTTTTCATAAAAATTAAATAAAGAATTTATCAATAGACTCATAATAATAAATTAAAAATATACGTAAAAGGAAACTAACCGTTAATTGATTTAATATAAAATACAATATTATCAACTACACTAAACATGAAATATAACTAAAATTTGTCTACCTTGATCATAATTTTCTTTTATTTACTATCGTATTGTGTCAAAATAAAATTAAAGAAACACTTAAATCTAAAAATTACCAGTAATATTTAACCATGTAGATGAGGCGGCAATCATTGTGGCGCATGTAATGAAAGTGGAAAGAAGGAAAGGCATAAATGTAGCAGTAGTAGTACTTGTAGTAAGCATATTATTTAATTTTATTATATTATAAATTATAAAATAAAAGAAAGCGCAAAGACCATAAAAATCAGGAAAGTATAATTAATGGTGGAAGAGGGAGGTGCTAAGCAGATTCGTGTGCAGTTCTGAGTAGCAACGCGTCCGTACAATGGACTGGAGGCGCAGCAAGACGAAGAAGAACCATGCTCAGCCTCAGCCTCGGTTGCAGCGCCTCAACGCCAAAAAGGGCATCGATTACCAACCTCCACCCTCTCCGCCTTCCCCTTCTTCCTCCGCCTCCGCCTCCTCCCTCTTCGACCACCAAACCAGCTTCCGCATCATGGGCGTCGACGGCGAATTCGACCGCATCTTCCAGACTTTGGGCCTCTCCGGCCCCGAAGACTTCTCCATCCCCACCGCCGACTGGGAGGCCCGCAAGGTCCGCGTCGCTTCCTCCACTCGGCCCGCTCCCGCTCCCGAGATCGTTTCCGTCCCCGCTCTCGACTCCCCTTGGTCTTCGGGGGAGCACGATGGAGGCAGGGGCGGTGTCGGCAGACTGAGGCACGGCGACCGGAGCGTGCTCTTCACTGATTCCGGTTCCTTCACTACTTCGCACGACGACGACAGTGACATCGGCGGCGAGAGGGCTTGTTCCGTTTCTAATGCCGCCGCCGCCGCCGCTGATGAGTTGGTTTCTCCGTTTGGCTCCTCCAACGGCTGGTTCCGCCTGACTTTCTCCTCCTGGCAGAAGGGTGACGTGTTGGGAAGCGGCTCGTTCGGAACGGTGTACGAAGGCTTCACTGAGTGAGTCTTTCCTTTTCCGTGCTTCGTTTTGGATTGAGTCTAGTTCTTGTAATTAACCTAGCTGTGAAATCTAACACTATTTAATGACCTCGTTCTGGTTAGTGGTTAGGTTAGGGTAGTTATTTGTCCGTCTTGTTTGGACTGACTTGCGCTTTGAAGAACATCCTCATTGGGTATTAACTTGTTTTCGTTACGGTTTCTGACATGAATTAAATCAAATCTTGTTCCGATTGCATTCAATTTCCACCTAATGCTTGAGTGCTAGTTAGATGGTATTATTATCTTGTAATAATTGCTGAGCTTATATACACATGTACAGATGTACTGGTTATAGCACAACTTATGCAAAATTCAAGTGCGAAGGAAAACTCTGCCCCTGCCTCCTTTGATGAATGTTTTTAAGGATGGGTGTGTTTAATTGTGTATCCAAGCTGTTTATTATGTAGGGTCATTCTAAGGCATGTACTTAGGTTGACATCTTCCGCAGGTGCCCTATAAGAAGAATGGATTTGGAAAGTTTCTCCCTATTGGACAATTTATGACTTGGGGCTTGTTTGGATAAGTTTTTTCACAAACACTTATATGAAAAAGGAAATAAGCTCTCTAAAAGTTGAAATTAGTGTATGGGTCTATTTGGGTAAAGTTCTGGGACAGAAAAACAAAAAACAAAAATGAAATAAGCTTCTCCTCATAAGCTAATTTGTAGAATCTCTCTCCTGTTAGCTTCTTCAAAATAAACTTATGCATAAGCTAGTTTTAGCTTATGGAGAAACTTATTTGGATTTTCTTTCCTATTTTTTTTTTCCTCCTAGAAGTGTTTTTGAAGAAGTTTAGGGTTTAGGGTTTAGGGTTTAGGACTCTCCACATAATTTAATTTGTAGAAGTTTTCTCACATTAGCTTCTCTACAAGCTAATTTTTAACTTATGAAGAAGCTAATTTTAGCTTATAGAAGTTCATTTCATTTTTCATTATTTATTAGAAGTTCTTATGAAGAAATTTATCCAAACTGACCCTTACAGAAAAAGATATAGTAATTAATCACAGGATGACATGTTTGGTTCAGTGTAGCTTTTTTTTCCCCCCTTCTTTTTCTAGATGCACTTATAATCAATTGTTCAGCTTTTAGAAATACTTTTTAAGTTTTAACTTTATATAGGATGTATCTGGATAAACTTTTTCAAAAACACTTTTAGGAGAACAAAATAAGAAAAAAAATGAAATAAGCTTCTCTATAAGCTAAACTTAGCTTATATGTAAGTTAAAAACAAGTTTTTGGAGAAGCCAATATGAGAAAGTTTTTACAAATTAACTTATGCATAAACTAATTTTAACTTACAGAGAAACTTATTCCATTTTTCTTTCCTTTTTTTTCTTCTAGAAGTGCTTTTGAAGAAGTTTATTAAACAGACCCATAATAGATTAGTCTGGTAGTGAGCCTAGTTACTTTTCTCTTTTTGCGGCTGTGAGCAGAAAATAATCAGTTAAATATGACTTTTTTATAGTTCGCATAAGAGAAACCACAACTATTATGATGGCTATGGTTTGTAAAACTTATTATCAAGCTCGTTTTAAAAGTGTTAGGTGGTCTATTCTTTTTTAGCTTTGTAATCTATCTTGTTTTTACAGGGTTAATATGCATTTTCTTTTCTTGCAGTGATGGATTCTTTTTTGCGGTAAAGGAGGTGTCTTTGCTCGATGAAGGTAGCCAGGGAAAACAGAGCATTTTCCAACTTCAGCAGGTCGGAGGACCTAGGCTTCTCACTAAATCTTATGATTTATCCATTAATTCTTACATGGTAGTATTCTTATATATGATTTCTGTGACCTCCCTTTCAGGAAATATATCTTTTGAGTAAGTTTGAACATGAAAACATAGTTCGATATTATGGCTCGGACAAGGTATGCTGTTATCTAGTAAGCAAGTCTCTTTTATTTTGCCACAATATGATATTCTAGAGAGAATAATTGCATTTCCAGGACCTAGATAACTGAAATAAGCATTTTGTAAATTTGAAAGCATTTATTTGGCTCCAAATCACTCTGTTCATTAAGCATCTCGGAAATTGTGGGAATTATAGCTAATTGTTTTGTACTTACTGTTATGTATGTGGAAGGAGGAAATGATGTCTTTGTGTTACAAAAAAGAGGGAATGAGATACCATGTGGTTATTGGAGGGAGATAAGTTGTTCATACTTTGGACAATTCTCATTATAGAATCAATAAATACTGTTCTTTGCAATCCTGCATTTAATGCAACAAAAAAGAAATTTTTCATCTACCAATCTGTTTAAAAAAATTGATGTCTTGTGCTCATAAATAATATTGGAAGTTCAGTTTAATGTCAATATCACTAAGCTTTTGAAGATCAAATTAGTGTTCTAAATTTTTTTTGATGACCAAATTTGGGATTTACTCAATTATTTTTTGTGTGATTGTGTTTGTTTAACAGAAATTGAGTTTATAATGTTTTTATTGCCTTCTATTTGTTATTTATATTTATATTTTGTATTTCACAGGACAATAGTAAACTATATATCTTCCTTGAGCTTATGTCAAAAGGATCATTAGCAAGTCTCTACCAAAAGTATCGTTTAAATGACTCTCAAGTTTCTGCTTACACAAGGCAGATTTTAAATGGCTTGAAATATCTTCATGATCATGATGTGGTTCACAGGTAACATGGATGAATTTCTATCATGATACTTGGCAATGACTGTATAATATCGGCTTATTTGGGTGAGTTCCGTGAGGAATTTAGGTGGTTTCGTTAATGATGTTAAAGTGATTTGTGGTAAAGGGTCAATATATTTTCGTTTCATTCTTAATGTATTAGGGAAATATATTCAAGAATGTTCTGTATAATAAAGTGGCTCTTCACAACTGCAGCCAGTGTGTGTGTTTGTGCATCTGTACATCTAACTAGAATTTTATACCAGCTTGAAACTGGATGACAATAGATATCTTTCAAAGTGTATGACTAATTGACTATGACATTTAGAAATTCAGCCTCTATAGTTTCTTTGGAGCTTATTAAGTACAGTGTCTTTTTGATCCAGTTCTGAAGTAGACTGGGGCGTGGAGCTTTGTTATCTAAGTCTGACATGCACCTGAAATGTAGAATAGTTAGAGAGATGATTTCCTTTAGAAATAACCTTGGATTTTGTTAAATGAAAAATTAAGAGCTGAACCTTACTGACGGCATCATTCAAGAATTTGATATTTTAAAAATGAAACAGGCATCTGTAAGAAGTGACCTATGAAGTTGAGTCATATAAATGATTCGGTAACTTAAAACCTAATTTTCATATAAGTTTTTGATTGAATCCTACCAATGATGCAACTTGAATATGACTTATGAATGGGAGAATCAGAATTAAGGTTTTAATACTTATCAGCAATCAAGGTTCCTATTTAGGAGGACCTATAATAAGAGAATATTTTGCAACTGAAGTCATGGAAATTTCTTTAACAAGTCAGTAATCTAGCAGTTGTATTATTTCTGTTCTTATATTGGAGGATGTGTTTTAGTTTTATTTGCACATGTATGTATATCAAGAAAATAGTTGAGAAACCAGAAATGGAGTATGATTCTCCGCCTGGGAAGATGAGTTTGCTTTAACAGATTTTTTTTGAGTAGTGGAAACTACATTACTTTCAATCATTGATTTTGACTTCTGAAATATCTTGACTTTGCATTGATTTGCTATGTTCTGATTGTTTAAATCTATATATTCAATTTTAAAGGGATATCAAGTGTTCTAATATACTGGTGGATGTACATGGGGCAGTCAAGCTTGCAGATTTTGGGTTGGCAAAGGTAACCTTTACTAAAACTCAATTTCTCTTTTCATCTACTTATCATATGCAATCCAAATACTGGGGGTAGCTGGTTGTAATTATATAAATTATATTTTTTTTTGTCTTTTTCCTTCTCAGGCAACAAAATTTAATGATGTTAAATCAAGCAAAGGCTCCCCATACTGGATGGCCCCTGAGGTTTGTCTCTGCTCTTATATCATTTGTTTGGAGTAATTCCTGCACAGGACAAACTAGAATGTGATCATATGGCAGTCTAATCCAGTTTTAGTCTGTAGTACATATTCCAAATGTTGCTGTAAGAACATAAAGTATATGCTTCCAAAATTCCATTGCTTTTCTTGTGCCAGAGTGCAGATTCAGAATCTCGAAACTGTAGTTTCTCCACCCATTTGTGATTTAGGAGAAATGTTTCAGTAAACGCTAATTTTTATACTAGTGAGCTTTTTATTGTGACTGGTTTAACTTTGGATTGTTGGTTAATAGGTTGTTAACTTAAAGAACCAAGGTTATGGGCTAGCAGCTGATATATGGAGCTTAGGGTGTACAGTTCTGGAGATGTTGACAAGGCAGCCTCCTTATTCTGATTTGGAAGGAGTACGTATTATGTAACACTTCTTATTATCATCTTTTCAGACTTTTCTTGTTCTAAAGTTTTTTTACTTTCCTATGTTCCCCTGATTATCAGAGACTAGATTTTACCTTCTGTTTTTAATTTTTCACCCCTTTGAATAAGAAATATTTAGGATTTTAGTTTAGTGGGTTACTCTTCTCTTTGAAATTGGATAACTGGGGATAGTGTATTCTGATGTCTTTTCTGTCTAAACAGATGCAAGCATTATTTCGGATTGGTAGGGGTCAACTTCCACCTATTCCTGAGTATTTATCCAAGGATGCCCAAGATTTCATTCTTCGATGCTTACAAGTTAACCCAAACAACCGCCCAACTGCAGCTCAGCTATCGGCTCATCCATTTCTAAGGAAAAAATTTCTACCTCCCTTAAGCTCTGCTTCTCCACATAGGAGCATCTATCGGTTATAGGAACTCTAAATCACCTCTTAATTTGGCACTAAGAAGTTGAAATTTATCCTCTATTTTCTGATCTTTCTCCATACACATCTTGGTTTACCTGGTGGAATGTCCAGGACAAGTTTAATGGGTTTGCAGATATCTGCTTGAGTTGGACCTAACTACTCTCGGCTGATTGTTTATCTCAATGTCCTCATCATAGCCCACCATGTTGAACCCATATTTCCATGGTCAAGGTAGGTTCATTGAAAGGGGTGAATGCATTATCAAGAGTTTCACAAGGCTAAGCTTTCACCTTTTTGCAATGCCTCTTCAATCCCAGTGTGAATCTTCGTATGGACTGGATTGGGGAAATGGATAATGAAGGAGAGGGACCTTTTCATTTCCAACTGGTTGCTCTTTATTCTATAAGGCAGAAGGCCCCACCAGGAGATTGCTATGGCCAAGTACAGTTGGCCATCTGGCGTGGAGTTGTCAGGTCCCATTGCTTTCACTTGATCCTGTCAGGAGCTCATGTTCATGTGATTATTCTTGCATATAACTGTACAGTCCCAAGAATGGCAAGCAGGTTGCTGATACTTGGTCTCAGGTAAATAGTTAGTTCAAGCAATGTGCTATTAGAGCAACAATGAAAGTTCAAAGTTTTGTAGTTTTTTCTTCCCCCCTCTTCTCTTATAATATAGTTAAACAGTATATAATTGCAGGACTTTTTTTCCTTCTTCCAGGAACTAGCATTTGTATCTATTTTCCATTGTAAAATGATGGCCCTTGCATAATATCTTTATAACAGGAAAATTGTTGTTTGCTAATCAAAAGTAATCAGTATGCTAAGCTTCACTAATCACTATGACTCATTTGCTGTAAAGAGGTGAAGCTGCGGTATGTGACAATTTATTCATGTACTTCAAAATTTCCGCACCTGATAACTTAGTATTTACCACTATCAAGTCTAAACCAGACATTTAGAAGTTGAAGACTTGAAGGAAAAATCAAGATTTTGTAAAAGTTCGGTGGTGTTCCTAGTGGGAACCATGGTAGTTACAAACACAATAGTTATTGATTGTGTTGACTTGCTGGTCATACTTGGTAGAGGAAGGGCGGAAGGCGAGGAAGAGCGGAAGCCAAAACAAGCTAGTGCGATAATTTGACAAAATTGTGGAATTCAGATTTTGACATTTTGGCCACGATTAAGGACTCTACAATATATTTAATTGGTAATTGATAAATGATAATATTAATGTAGAAATAATTTCAGTAATTAAAAATTATGATGATATTTTTTTTATGGAAATAGCATATTTTTTTATTCATAAAAATTAAATAGATGAAGTTATATTAAAATTTGTACATATTTAAAAGATATAAATAGACAAATTTTACTTAATGTAATCATATCCTATTCAACATTGTAGAACCCATTTCATGTGAAAAATATCCTTTGTTGTTTTGACTTTAATCATGCTTCATTTTAATTTTCATTGTTTTAAACTACTTTGAGATTTGAACATGATTTTTTCTGATGGTAGACAGGCAGTTCTTGTCTTGACGAATAAAAAACGTGTATGAATAATCAAAGAAATAAGTGTGTCTTATACAATTCAAATGAATGTAATTTATGTTAAATAATTAAAGGTTAACCTAGTGTTTAGAAGAATAAGGAGGTAGGTAGTAGAAACATGTAGACTTAGATGAGATTTTTATTGTCACCATCTTTGTATTATTTTATTTAGAAAAAACAATTCAAAAGAATGTAACCTACTTTTTTCCCTTTTCAATTAAACAATATTTGTAACTTCTCTCTTTATTTCTTTAGTGTTATGAAAAGTGATACTATAAGGCTATTTCTAATGAAGATCTCTTTTTTATGTGCTAAAGAGAGTCTCACTTGTATATATTACTTATTATTTTTTTAATTTAAGCACTTTTATAAATATTAATCTCTCTAATTTAGCATTTCTCTTTTGATTCTTAGCATTTTTCTTTTGATTTTTAATGGTTCCCACAAAAAACATTACATTTTTACATATTATCAACAATTTATTTATTAAGTTATAAATTAAGAGATTTCTTTTATACTATTTTGCAAAATATTTTTTAATGATACAAAATTAAAAAAAATAACTAAATTAAATTTTATTTAAAATGATGAAATCAACTAACACTACATGATTATGACAATATAAAAATTATAGTTAAAAAAAGTACGTAATTAAAATAATAATTAATTTTGTAAATTATTGTGTCCAAAACAACATCTTCATATATGCTCCAAAAGTAGGAGTGTAAGTGGGTTGAATTGGATTAAGTCTTGATAAATCTATTATCCAATCTGATCAAAATTTAATGGTTAGGTTAGGTTGAGTTTGTGCATTAACTTTTTAAAATTCAACCCAATCCAACCCAATTCGATCGTAGACAGATTGAATTGAGTTAGATTAATCGAGTTAACATAATTAAGTTTATTTATTTTTATAAAAATTTAAATATTTCATAATAGATATAAAACATTTGATATCTAGTTGCAAATACAATGTTATCAATTGATAAATATAGATAATGATACAAACTAAATTTCAAAATAAATTTGTTTCTTTGCTACATTATTATTAGCTCAAACAACCATCATTAATACAAAATAAAATTTGCAATAAATATGTTGTATTGTTATAATGTTATCAACCCAAAAAAACATAATACATGTTACTAAGCACGAGTGACAGAAAATATTGTCTTGAACAAGTGATCACACTAATTTATTATTATTGTTGTTGTTGTTATTATTATTATTAGCATTATTATATATGATCGGATTGGGTTGGATCACGAATCAATAGCACAAAACTCATTATTTGACCCATATAATGTTATTATCCAACTCGTACAATGTCAAATTTTAATCAAGTTGAATTGGATCTGATCTGAACACTATAAAAGTCCAATTCAAACTAATTGGATTAATTTAAATCAATTAGGGTTCATGAGTTATCCGTACCCACTTATATCCTTATCCGTAAGGTCAAATTGAAGTTGATAATGATGTTGCCTATCACAAACAAGTGTTCTTCTTTGTAGATATGGTGCAAGGTTTGGATAATGATCAATATGTAAGTTGTTGAGACATTATTGTTCATAAGAATAATCAAAATTACTATCATATGTGTGTCATTCATCTTCCACAAACATGTTATGTAATATGATACATGCATATAATATATGATTGATTGTATTCATGTGTCAAGCACACATAGGGCCACATATAATTTACAAACTGAGATTAAAGCACTTCAAATGCATGTTTCACATCCTTTCTTGTTGTTTTCTGATATTGGGCAAACAATTTTCTTCTATCTTTTTGTGGCATTGGGATAGTCTTAACTAACATAGCCCATTTTGGAACAATACCCTATGTAATATCAGGTTCCATTCACCATATATTGCACCCTCGAGGCTTATCCCTCTAAAACCTCATTAAACATGGGAGATTCGTTGAGCACATTGATGTCATTGTTCGAACCTATAACCCCAATATATGCATGTCATATTCATAAGTCTTATGATACCACTACTTCAAGCATGATTGTGGGTTTTCCACAATCAGCATGACAATATTGATATTTCCTTGTTGTTGGACAAATTTTCCATTCCTAATGTTTACAATCTATGCTACCTAACATACTTGAAAAATGATGTCTCTCTCCCATTTGAAGTAGGCGTTGAATGTCGTTGTTGTTAAGTTTTCTTAAGTATTTTACTCCAAAGATTTGAAAAACACCACGGACAAACTTACTCAAGCATTTCATTATAGTATTTTCCTTAATTTACAGATAATTATCAATACTATCAGTAGATGATTCATATGCTAATATACAAATAGCAATAGTACATTTTTGCGATGAAGAAAAACCCTTTCTTATGGTTGCATCAACTCTCATTTGAAAATACTCATCATGATTGCTCAAAGCTTATACAATGTAAAGGAACATATCCGTTCACATTTAAAATCTTCGTTGAAAATTGTTCTTATGTGTATATTGTATTGTTGGAGAAGTAGTCATTGGACAACTAAGCATGCGCTTCTTCATGACTCTTTTTAATATGAATTCATCTTTACCTATGTGTAGTTGTTTGTTGCCTCTCCATTACTCATCTCATGCATAGTTCTTCAATGATTTTACCCTTAAAATTCTATTCATGAGATGAATCGCTAGATCCTATTCAAAGGGACACGATAAAAATGCCAATGTTGAGAGAATTTAAGCATAAGATAAGATTTGTTTGCACAATCGAAGAGTGTGAAAAATCTTCTTATATAAATATAGACTTATTTATGTGACGATTATTTTTCAATGGTTAATTTGACAAATGACTAATTTAATGACTAATATATATATATATATATATATATATATATCAAATCTTATAGTATTTTAAATTCATATTTTCTTGTAAAATTCATAAAATATTATAATTATATAATATCAATGTAATATTAAATATGATTTTTCCTTTTGAAATTTAGTCATTATCAATATGTTTTTTAATACTTATTTCATTGGTGAAAATATAAAAAGTTTAAGAATATATTAGAAAGTTATAATACCTCATTTTTCTTTATAAAATTAAACATATTTATCATATTTATTAAGTGTTAATTTTTTTACACCTTCTACCAAAACTTTAATCATTAAATAAAATGGAATGAGAAAATGTGTATATATATATATATATAAATTTATTATTGTGCAGAAAGATTAAACTAATCATCATTATGGGATGGAGAGAGAATGGAATCATGCGTTAAAACATAACTCTGTTCTGAAAACCTTTTTTTTCCTTTTGTGACAAGCATTATAAAAATCTTTCCAGAGTCAAGGGTAACATTTTTAAGACTCCATGTCTCCATTTAACGCCACAATGACAACATATATAGCTAAATCCCTGACGTTTCGTGAGGTGCTTTTCCACATTTATGAGATAGATTCATTCATATCAAAATTTCCAAATTCTACTGAATTTAGACGTCAATGAAAATGCCCTGTATCTCTCATCTCTCATTTTTCTAAAAAAAGATTATAAACAGTGAATAGTTAATTGACAAGTGTGGGTAATTTTTAGTGTAGAATTAAAAAAATTATTTTTATAAGTTATGATTGTAAAATTAGAAGAGTTAATCTTTCAGATTTTTAATATATTAAAATTTCCAAATATTCTTTAAGAGGGGAAAGAAAGATTTCTTTATGATGACAGTTATATTTTTAATTCTAAAATAAATAGTTTTAATGGTTACAGATTTTAATACTACTTGCATGTTATCCCAACACATGGAAAAGTTGGGCCAACCAAATAATACTTTACAGACTAAAATACTCTTGTTATTAGAATTTTTTTTTTTTTAAATGAGATATGAATACATTATAATATATTTTTTACTTTGCAATATTTAAGCTTTTTAATTTTTCGTAAAAAAAAAATAAAAAAGAAAAGATTGGTCCAGAGGAGTCCACAAAGATGGTACGATGGAAAGGGAATATGCCTGATTCTTCTCTTCTGGTTAACGTGAGAGAGCACGTGAAGGCGCACTTTGTGACACGTCAGCACGTTCAGAAGAGCGTGGCACGCAGTCGCTGGAGGAGCGCGTGCGTGGGAGGGTGGATGGGGGCGTAGCGTAGAAATGACTCCAACTGCGCGATTCTCAACTTTCTCTCTCTAAAACATGAGAAGAGTATGAGAGAGAAAGTTGCGTGCCTTTCCATTTTTCCTCTCGATTCCTTCGCCTTTGCTTTCGATCCTTTGCTAGAGAACCTTATTCCTTTCTCTATTTTGTTTATCCCTTTCTTTTCTTCCATTTTCACTCCCTACCTAACCGCCTGGTACGAACACAATCCCTCCACTCCCTCTTTAATTTCAGTTTTCGCTTCTTTTTCGGATTTTTAGGTTAATTCTCTTCTTCTTTCCGCAATTTTCGATTCGTCTATTTAACATTCTTAATTTTTGCTAACCTAATCTAACCTACTTTTTTAAAAAAATTAAACTGTTAATTGAAGAGCGGATACCTAATTGGTTGTGCTTTCTAGCTCCAACTTCCATTATCCATCGTTTTCTCTGTTTCCAAACAGATGGTCATTTTTGTTTTGTCGCCCCCTTTTTTTTTTTTTTTTTTTTTTTTTTTAATTTAAACAATTATATATTGGTGGGTTGATTGGATCTCAGATGGATGAGTAAAGTTTAGGGGCATGTGCTTGTTATCTTAGCTTCATGTTCCGGTTAATATTATATTAATGTTACTTTGTTAGTTGTCTTTGCTTGCTATTGCTTCTCACCGCGTTGTTTCCTTCTGACCCGACTTTGTATAAATCTCTTACTCTGTTTTCTTTCTTGCTGCTCTATTATTTATTGCCAGATGCACTTTGGTTTTGCGAACTAGTTCGTTGGCTTAATTACTCCGATTTTGAGCTGGTGAGTTTTTCCTTATCTTCATTGTGGTTTGATGCATAACATGCTTTTGTTTTCTGCAGTCCAGGAAGTGAGGCTCCTTTGTTGGCGCAATGGGGCTATTTCCAGCAATTGCCTTTCTGTTTTGTTTTATTTATGTGATTCAATTGCTGTGGGTGCTTAGTCCATTGTGGCTTGTACCTATTCTTCATCTTCAGTGTGTTGACTAGTTGGGTTAGGCATGTGTTCATTGCGTATTCAGTTTGATCTAGCAAATAAATTGCTGATGTTGTTTCCTGAAGTTCAATTACAAGCTTTGTTATCTTTTAATATAGTTTATTTCATTATTGTGTTGGTTTGACTCTCAACTTGTTTCTTCTATTCACCCTCTCATTTAAAATCTTTACTCTTGTTTCCCATTTATGAGATTATTGGACTTTTTGAACTCAATTTTGTAGTAAGAGGAATTTGGATTAGATGAGTTTTGTACGATGAATCTATGATGATGCCGCCTGATTGTTAGAGCTGATAATCTGGTCATATGATAATGTGCGAGTGGCACATGAATGCAAGTCTTATTTTAAACAGCCAAAATATTTAAGGGTGATTGACATGTGCTCTTCTTTGGGTTGTTTTTTTAATAGAAATAAACTTAGAATCATGGTCATGTGGGCCATGCATGAACCTCTCTGAACTGTTTTCAAAGCCCAATAATACTTCCAAAATAGGCAAATTAAATATGGTTTACTATAGTATTGCATGATTGCATCTTTGATTTAGATGTAAAAATGCTTTTTCCCTGGCTTATTCTAAGCTGATGCATCATCATCTATTTCTTTATTCTAAGCTGAGCTATTATACTAAAATAAATAAAGGATTGTCCTAGATCTAGTACAAATAGCCACAATTGTACTGTTAGTTTTTATTTTCATGTTGATGTATTTTGCCATGACCAAAGGAAATTCTTTTCATGTAATTTGCTGTTAAGAATTTAGGTCTTTTGTGCTGGTTTATGTGTAAATTGGCCTACATTTATTAAAGTAATTGTCTTGTCTACAACCTTTTCGACATTATTTATGGGAAGGTAACTGAGAAAGTTTATTGCCTTAGTATTTGAGAGCATAATATCATTATCTTCTACTTGACCAGACAACTTATGTTCATCTCTAGCTGCCTTACATTTGTCTGCAGCCATTATTTTGTGGGGTCATCCATTTAATGTTTTTTAATGGGCTAGCAAAGTTGCCCCTGTAATGTTATGAAAAAGAAGCCTTAACACAGAAAGATAATTTTTTCCCATTATATCTCTATTGGGGAAGGCAATCTTCCTTGTAGGATTATGTGATCTTGCACTTCTGTTTCACTTATGCACTCCAACTTGGTTTGGTGAGATCTCTAAGAGATCAGTGGTCAAGCTTGTGAAATTACTTACATGGCAATTCAGACAGATTTTTCAATCTAGATGGACAACCATTCAAATGGCAGGACAACTCATTTTGTGTAGGGGAAAATCTGT